AGAGTCAATTTAGCCTGACAATATTCAATCCTAAGATTTGGTTGGAAATACTGAATAAGATGAAATAAACAAAACAAAGCAAAACCATATTTTCTGTTGTTTGTTATGCCAAAAGTGTTGTAGCTAGCTGAGTTAGATGGAAATAGTATAGGCAGTTAGGTGGGGCCAGGTCCTCAAAGGAGCCAGTATGGAAGACAAGATACCTTGCAACTGTGAGACAGATAGGCACTCCTGCTGTGGGCCAGATCGCAAGGCAAAAGAGTAAACAAATGCAGCTACATAACTCCCTCTAAATAGCCATTAGGGATTTGTATTCCAAATAGTTATCAATCACCTTGAAGAAGCCAGGAAGAGCCGCTAACCCAACTCTGTACCGGAAAAGCCCATTCTATACTCATGCCCACTTACTACTCGACTCGCTTCCCTATTTGACCCTGATTTAATCGATTTTACCTGAGGAATTACATTCATAACCTTATTGGTGGACCATAATTTTGTTCCACCTCATGCCCATCTTGTGAGTTCCTATATTCCCACCCTCGACCCACCTCACCTCATGAATTTGCTCTATAAAAATCCTGAGAAAAGGCAGCGCCTTGGGCAACCCACTCAGTTCCTTCTTCTGTCCCTCTCTTGGACAGAAGTTTTCTTTTCTCTAGTAAATATATTCTGCTCTTAACCTGTTGTTCCTAAAATTTATTCTTGGGTTTTACAGGACACAAACTTGGCCCAGGCATTTTCAGGTTGGGAGTTTCTTATCAAAAGGATGTAGGTTTGGGACTTGTAGCATCTGCCTTGCTACCAGGAGAAGAGAACCTATCTGGGAATGAAGCCAAGATAGAGAAGTGAACTATACAATGTCTGATTCCCAGCCACCTTCTCAGACCCCTAGATCAAGCCATGCCTAAAACTTGAATTATTAGTTACTACAATTTCTTTATTACTCAAGCCACCCTGAACTGGGTTTACTGTTACTTGCATTTAAAGGAATCTTTACTCATACACTTACTCATTTTGTTTTCTCTTTTTTGAGGCAGGGCCTCCATAGTATGTAGTTCAGGCTGGCCTTGAACTCACTATGGAATCCAGTCTGGCCTCAAACTCAAGGTGATCCTCCTGGTTCAACCGCTTGAGTGCTGGAGTTATGGGCGTGTGTCTTCACACCCCTCAGACATTCAGTGTCAGTGCAAGAGCTGCCACCCTGGCTTAGATGTGTAAATACATGGAGAAAGAGGTATCTAGTCCTTTAATTCCATCCCAGATCTGCAGTCATTAGAGGAAATTAAAAATAGCAGAGATTTATCTCCTTGTTTTAATTTCTTTGCTCTTTTAGTATTCACTAAGCACTCAGTTGTTCCTCACCCTAAGAACTTAGTGTCCTTAGGTTTCCCTTTGATAACCTAAGGCCCCAAGGGGAAACAGAATAGTCTTAAATTCTATAGAGGAGTACTGGCCTGGCCTAAAGAATTCTAATGAGGCTCCAAGGTTGACTGCAGATAGGCTGGTAGTTTGGTTCTCCTAGGTGGGTGGGTCACAGAGGAACAAAATCAGAAGGAACAAAAGGAATGGAAGGCTACCAGCCAGGAGGCTAGACAGCCAGGGCCAAGAGTAGGCCCAACAGAAAGTCAGAGGGTGAATCTCAGCATAAGTAAATAAAGCTTGAGGGCCTCAGGTTCCCCAAAGTCTGTTTCCATGGAGGCAATTTTCATTTTGATAATTTTTAGGGGTGATTCTTTCTTAACTAAATCCAGTGTGACCACAGTACAAATCACAGAGGGAAAGGGCATAGGTATTTTAATTATTTCTGCACATAGAACACATTATTAAAATCAAGTTTGAAGGTCTGATATCTCTTTGACTATGATCTCTGGATATTCCTGTGTGCCAGTGACCAAATAATAATAGAATCAGGAAAAAGCTAGAAGGCCACAAGGTGTTAAGTCAGGTTCAAAGGCAGAAAATAAGCTTATTCCATAGCCAGAGACAGAATAACAAAGAATAGCTAACACTTTACAGTGTACTGTTTTTTTTAAAAAAAATTTTAGGGAAGGGTCTACAGGGTGATCAGGGTCTCACTACTAGATCAGACTTGTAGGGATCCACCTACTTACAGCCTCCCAAGAGCTGGGATTACAGGTGCATGCCACCATGCCCAGTCTCAGTTGCTGTTTCAGCGAGCCCTGGGAGCGAAGCCAGCATAGCAGGCCTGGAGATTGAACCCCTGGCCCTTGCACCTGCTTGCAGGCACTTTAATCCACTGAGCTATTTGGCTGGCCTTTTGTACCAAGTACTTTTAAGGATTTCATCTATCTATCTATCTATCTATCTATCTATCTATCTATCTATCTATCTATCTATCATCTATCTATCATCTATTACTGATAGACTTATTTAATGCTCAGAACAACCATGTTAGGATCATGCTGACATGTCTGAAGTGGAGAAAAGGCATCTTAGAGCGATGCTGTGTCACCTGTCCAAGGCCCCCCGCCATTAGTGACAGTCAGAGCCTCCAGTTCACACTCTCATCAGTTTGTGTCGTGTAATACTCTGGGATATTATCTGGTGTCTCTACGTATCAGTCAGCTTCTCTTTGAGAGAGGGCTGAACTGTCTGAATTTCAATACAAACTTTTTCCTCACCCGCATCACTTGGAGGGTGGCTGATTAAACAAGAACCCTTTTTCCTTAGGTTGCTGTAACACCTATCCAACTTGTCTAACACTAAGCAAAACCAGCCAGTGACACAGCCTGAGAAAACAATGGCATTTCTGTGATCTGGCCTATTCCTGGAGACGTCATGATGGCAGTGTTAAGAGGAGTCCCTTTTCTCCCTTTTTCCTAAGTTCTCAGGGGCAGCAGGACTAGTTAGGTCCTCATCTACCATTTTTTTCTCATGGCAAATTTCTTTCAAGACAGGCGTCTTGTGGTGTGGGTTCTGATAGTGCAATACTCTCGGAGGTTGCAATTCTGTGCTTTCAAGAAAGGATGCTTAATCTAAGACTAAGAAAGGTATAGGACAGGTGAAGTGCCAGTAGAAAATAGGTAATCCGTTAGGAGGGAAAAAGGGGTGGGATTAACAGGCTGCAGGGTCTGGGTCCAGGGTTGGTAGAGAGGAAGAACTTAGAGCCTGGGGAAGGCTGATGTAAAGATAAACCTTGGACTCACGGGAGTTGGGAGGAAGATCCCCATGGTGTTAAGTGGGGCTCAGAGGTAGAAAATAAGAGCCCAACTACTGCTAGTATTCACTCACTGATAGTGAGCTTTCCCCAGTGGGGTGTAACGGGTCTTCAGATGAGAGGAAAGCAGAAGTAGGGCTGGCAAAGAATGGGGAGAATCCTGAAAGTGAAGGGTCACAGCCACAGCTGCTTCCCACCCGCTGCAGGAGGAGCCACAGATTGCCAACTTTCATGGGTGGTTAAACTCTGTCTAGAGGTGTGTTTCTCCATTGTTGCTTTTTGACTGGTTGTTATCCATCTATATGATGAATTTTGAAAATAATTTTGATTATTTTCAGTGTTTTTTCCCTTTTGAGAGATTTCCTAAATCTGAAGGGTAATTGCTCAAGGATGACCTTAGCTAACTAACTGTAAGGCTCAGTCTTGTTCAATAGTAAGTCATGTGATGCAAATACAGCCTGCAACGAAGTATACTCATGCTGCCCTCATCATCTCTGCTCCTGAGTTTCTCAGGGGTCACTTCTCTGACATTTCATTGCAGCCCCAGTTTGTCCCCCGGCTGAAATGCTATTCACTCTTTAGTTCTGTTCTAATTTCTACCCATACTTCTACTAAAGTACTTAGCCTGCCTCAACTCATCAGAATTGAGTGACGTTACCCTTGGTGAAAAATGTATCCCATCTTTGCACTCCTGTGTGAAATGCTACTGGCTGAACTGCACTGTCCACGCAGCCCCAGGATGTCTTTCTTCTTTTTTTGGGGGGGGGGGGAGTGGAAGGTAAGCAGGGATCAAACTCAAGGTAAGGTAAGCAGGGATCAAACTCAAGACCTTGCACTTGCCGAGCAGGCGCTTATGCTGCTGAGCTATCTCCTTGCCTCCTGGATCTCTTTGTGGCAATGAATATAACATCCTTTTTGTGACACAGCTTGCGATTTGTCCCCGATACCGGTAGGAAGTGCAGGAGATACCTACTTTTGACAGTAACTCAGTCAGATTCAATTTACAAAGATTTCTTTTGGGTTCAGTTGTCACCAGAAGTCTTGGTTCTTTGTGGGCAGGCATGGACCCCCACATGTCTTTATTCTTCTCAACAATACCCATTGTATATTAAGGGCTTCACTTTTATTTGAATACATTGGGTGATTTCTTCTGGTCATGTTCATTGGATCTGGATCTAAACTGGTAAGACTTTCTCATGCAATTTTATAAGTGCACTTACTCATTGTGAAAAAGCAGGGCTATAACACAAAACCTGATTTAGACACCATTTATTATCTTCTCTAAAATATGGTAAAAATTTTATCCTATTCTTCCTAGAAACAAAGTTTCCCTCCAAGGAAGCTAACTAACCATGTTTTAATAACTATGGTGGAAGCATGAAGCAGAGATTTAAAAAAAAAAAACCTGGATTTACTCATAATCATCAACTGAAGTGTAATGATACTGAACTTGGAGAAATGATTCTGATTCTGCTAATGACTTCTTACATAAATATAAAATTCTTACTGAGGAGAAACTTTGTGGTCTTCATTTGTTACTCTACCACCTGGGTTTCTCCCAATGTTACTTCAGTCACTCCCCTTACAAACTTAGTAGATGTCTGCCCTTAGAAAAGATAGCTTTAAAATTCAGCCGGTTTCTCCTTTACATCTCTTCTAAGGTTGTCTCTGTGGAACTCAGCATCAAACTACTCAATGTGAGTGTAGGGCAACTGATTTAAGTGTAGGACTTCAAAAGGCATTTCCTGTTGTGTACACGAGTGTGGCCGTGTAGTCTTCAAGAGGTGGAATCACAGGGCTTGTGAAGGTCTCCCACCTTGGCCTATTTTAAGCAAACTTTATTGTTGATTTAATGGAATTGTAACAAAGAGTTGGACTCAAAACACATGGGGATCACAGAGGCTGTTATGTTTATTGTGCAGAACAGACCGTGATAATCCACTAGAGAAATATTTTCAACAAGCAAGCGACTCAAAGTACAATCATAGACAGCAATTCTACATGAAGAACAAAGAATAAAGTGAGAAGACGCTCAAAGGAACAGGGAGAAAGTCAACTGCAGTTACACGTCTTGATACTTTTCTCCTGCAAACATACCTAACTTGCAGAAATGGTAGAAAAGTTAAGTGTCCAGTCTTACTTAGCTGCGACCAATAACAGCAAAGAACAGTCCTATAAAATTTATCTCCCACAAAAATAAACTATATATATAAAATTTTATGATGTTCTTACTGTTCCATTGGCCACAAACTTTTTTTTTCAGTATGAAAAATGAGGTATACTGGGACTTAAGAGGTAGTAGTGTGTTTTGATTGTACAATGTACAGGAAGTAAGAGAGTAACTTCATCAGAGATGGAAATTGCTCCGAGCTCAGAGTTTGGCCAACATGAGCAACTGCTTCAGTTTTATGAGCTGGCCAATGAGGTTTCTAAAAGGCCCATCCAAAGATATGGAATGGGACTTTTATTTTTTATGAGCCACTGTTTATTTGCTTATCTAATGCACAGTTAACAGTCATGTTGAATTTTAATTCTCTCCACAGCATTTTCGGCAATTCACAACAGTGAGTAACCTGCCAGCCTCAGAGAGGTATGTGGCCTTTGAAATTACCTCCCTGAAGCGGCTGGAAGAGAGATGGTTTTGAGTTTCATTTGGCTTCAGTTCTAAAAGCCATACTGACACAAGCCGTCATAGGAAACTACCTCCTGGCCCAGTGGATAATACCATGTTAAAAAATCAGCACACTCACTAGGAGAGAAAGGCATAAAATATTCTACATAAGAAGTGTTCAAAATAAATCTGGTTGAGGCATATTACAAAAATCACATTTGTGAAAAATACATGAAAATATCTGTCAAGCATTTTCTTATATTCAACTAATCTTAAAAAAACATATTTTGATTGCATTAGGCAAAAGCTGACCTTGTTGCATCTCACCTACAAAGCTTCAAGTTTCTTTGAAGGTTGGCTTCCTTTTATTTACTTATTTTTGCATAAGTACATAAGAATGGGTTCTTCTCTATCAAATGCTTTACAAAAATAGTTTCGATTAGGGATAGCTGCAGCTTGAACCATTTCAAACACTGGAGAAAATAAGTGAATGCTGCAAATAACAAGTTCATTCCTTTTGGAGTCCAGAGGTAGGTCTTTGCAAATCAATTAGTCTATTTCCTTAAACAATTCATTTGAGGTACAGATTTGGAGGGTAATTAAACATTAGTCAAGTTATACATCTGTGTGTGTGTGTGTGTGTGTGTGTGTGTCTCGTGTAGGATGAGTATAGAAAAGTATACTTAGAACCTAGGAGCCAATGATTAAAAACATGTTCAAGTTAATGTAGAAATCTAGCAGAGAAGCTGAAACAAGTATTTGTAAAATTTTAATTGAAAAATCATAGAAAAATACATAGCCATGCTGAAACAGAATAAGGAGATTGTTTCTTTTAACTGTAATGAGTGTACAAAGAGAACTGCAGGTGATGGAAATCACCTGCCCAGTAAGGTTTTCTTTCTTGCATTGCTTGTGTATAGCAGCACGTAATAAGTACGAGACTGTAAATTCATTGTAACATTCAGAGGTAGTATTGAGTAGTGGGAATATTGCATCTCTGGCGAAAAGTGCAGTTTGAGTGAAGAGATGGTGAACGGAAACTAACGTAAAGCACTTCGGTCAACCATCTTATGTCGAAATGTATTACTTGAAGTAACACATAGGCTTAATTTGAGGTAAGTGGTATTTAGGTCTTTCACCAAAACTGATACATATTGGAGACAGGAAGAGAGGAGGAGAGACAGAGAGGGAGGTCAGGAGGGGCGGAGGGAGAGAGACAGAGGCTGCTTTTAAAGTTGTCATTTAACGATACCAAAGAAATGTAGATTGTAGTCCTCCCCACCTCGTCATTCAGGTGAGTTGATCTTGTGTTATTGTGTTGTACCTTTTCACTAAATTACAGCGAGGATCATGACCGTGTCTGGGTTCCTCAAAGGCTTTAAGACTGACAAGTGTTATTTACTGCTAAAGGGCATTTTGGCTCTGGAGGAAGTAGATTTTCTGAAAACAAAGTGTTGTCCTGAAACATCAAAGAGTGGTGGGGGTAAATTTATTACTCCTGCTGATATGTGTGGTATCCATAAATATAGGAGTTGGCAACATTTATTTGCTCACTTCCCTTTTTGAAAAATGAACCTAATCATTTCTGGTTTGCTAACTGAATAAAAGGATACATCAGCATTTCGTCTCATTTAGAAAGGAAAAAAAAAAAAAAAGGTTAAAAATCATCAAGTAAGTGTCTACGAGATTATACAAAAAGGAAAGAATAGCATCTAGTCCTTATCTTTGGTGTTCTAAACAGAGGGTTTACTACAGCGAGCCGGGGTGGGGGTGGCGTTGGAGACCCCCGCGGGGCCACACACCAAGCTTGTCGCTTTTCCTATATGAATGCCCCGCGTCACCAGCGTGGCGCGCTCCTCGTCCAATGCAGTGCAGCGATCAACTAAACCCAGCAACCGAGAGCATTTTTCACGCCCACCCAACTCTTGCTTATCAGATCCACAAACTATTAGTAGGTTAAGAAAAAAAAAAAAAAAAAAAAAAGTCATTAAAAGTTGCATTGTTAAACTGTGTCCCCTGTGTTTACAGCAGTTTTTCACTAAACCTGGGACAGTGAAGGGATTACAAAGAAAGTGATTAATATAGTCCTTTTTAAGGTTATGTGACGTCGCCCCGCCCCGCCCCCGCCCCTCGCCCGCCCCGCCCACCCCACCCCGCGGAAAGTGGAAAGACCATGGCCATAGAGAGCAAGGTAAGTGGTCACTGCAGTGTCTTCTCCCTTGGAAAGATTCAACTGCTGCTGAGGTAGAAATCCAACGTGGGCGCGCTCTAGTCCTCCTCGGCCGACTCTTGTGAGGATGTCTCTTCTGTCTCCTCCTGCAACACACAAAGGACACGCAGGTTGTGAGAGGACCGGAGGCTGCGCGGGGCTCCTGCAGGAGCGCGGAGGTGTCCGCTGCGCAGTGGGTTGCGGGGTCAGCCCGCCTTCCCGTGGCTGCTTCCAATCTAATTAAGGAATCAAGGTGTTATTTTTTTCCCAGCGCCCTCATTAACCCCTGTTGACTTACTGCTTGACACCCCGGAGGCTGTCCAGCAAATTCAACTGTTTGCTGTCCAGAAACTGTCAGGTCGATGGAAGTCTACTCACCAAGCAGAGTAAAAAATAAGGGGTAATTTTTTTGCTGACACCATGGCAGTCATCAGTTTTAAAATCTGGTGCATGGGTACAAAAAATAGTTACAGAGATTTTTTTTTTTTTTTTTTTAAGGAGTGATCCCATTCTCCAGACGCTGGTCATGATGGCTGCTATTTTTAGAGTGCTTACTAGATGTGTTTAGGTACTGGAGAAAAATCAAGGCTCAGATAAAGATTAGGCCCAGGATTACAGTTCAAGTAGGACCAGGTCAGATGGGTCTGAGATCACATGTGATGCCTGCACCCTCTGCAGAAGTAAGGGGAAAGCTCCTGGATTTGGATAAAAGGCAACAGGAAGGACTGCACTGTTCCATCCCAAAGCCATTTCCCTATTCTTGTATTTATTAAAGCACATTTTGAGACAGTGACCAAAGTTTGGCATAACTGTTCAATCGCAATACTAAATCCATCCAGTTCAGCCAAATATTTAATGGTGGGCCAGCCAAGCAGAGAAAATCTAATATATATGTTTTTGCAGGGCCTCCTCTTCATGTAAACCTAACTCCTCCTCTTTCCCCTTTTCTGATTCCTTATGGCTCTGGAATTCGTGGGGGTTTCTGCAAAGCAGGCTGAGCTGCAAAGTTCTCTTTTCCTTTGCTTATTTAACAAATGTGCTGTACCTTTCAGGACATGGGTGGTAAAGCGGAGACAATAAACATTTCTGATAAAAGTGTCTTTAGAGAGAGGATGATTTTTATCAAATGCTGCACATTGTCTCCTAGCATGGCATGTGAAAAAGATCTGGGAGAAGAGGTAAACATTTACTCCTGCAGCAAACCAAGCCCCTTAAAGAATGGCCAGCTTAAAACAGCTTATAACAGCCTTCATACCTTAATAGATTTGATTTTCCACATGGCTTCATTTGGTCTGGGTGGCTAGCTGACACAATTTATACCTCTCTTCCTTTCCCAGGTCACTACAGTACACCATTCAGTAAAGCAGGCCTTAGAGCTTGTCTGCATTATACGAGCAAACTTCCATTCATTAGTGTCTGAAACACTTCGGCTGTGAAGGGGCTCCTAAATGCTACCATGTGTGACGCTTTTGCGTAAAACAGCAAATGGGAGAGAAACAGCCCCCATGAACGGGCACTCACATGAATGTGCGCACGCACACATGCATATATACACACTCACACGCTAGCCTGGCCTTTAATCACAGGCCACTACTTATTGCAAACCCTTTGCAAAAGGGTTTCCAACATTCTCTTTCCCCCCAAAGACCCAGAGAGCTGTAAATCCTGGGAATAAACACACATACAAATGAATGGATTACAGCTTAAAAAATATAACCGCAGCAGCATCAAGTCATGAGATTTCACACTGGTTTTGTTTAGTCTGCTCTGGGTTTTGTGGGAAACATGGAAAGTATGAAGCTACCTCCCCTTTTCTCCCAGCTCCCAAATGTAGGCTTCACATATTTAAGCAGCAGGTTTATACCTCTTGACGAGGCAACAGGCCATGACCCTGAGATCCTCTGTGGAGTCCTGGTCACAAAGGACGATGTACCATGATCAAAGCCATGGCCAGACGAAAGGGAGACAAGCCAAGGATCAGCTGCCCTATGACCTTGTCTTTTCACTTAATATTTAAATCCCAGAAAGTCACTAAGCTGTTCGGCAGATATGCTCTTTGTCTGCTCCCTAAGGACTCACTTCTCATTATGACACGAGGTGTGGACTTACGTTTCTGCTCTGAGACAGACCACAGCATAGAGGCTGGGGGGAATATTTTATTTTGCTTTCTCACAGTTAACAAATTAATAGAACCAGTCAAGCTGGAAAACCTCCTGGACCAAGCCGTGATTATTATGTCTCTTAAGTGCTTAATTTTTCTCTACTATCTGAAGACCAATGTACTTCAAAATCTAGAAGGAAACAGTATTTTCAGGCCATGAACTTACAAAGACCTTGTATTAGATAGAATGTGATCAGTTTTTCAAAACATTCCCAGACATGTTGCTCGATTTGAGCTCCCGAAAATGATAGTCAAACCCCTTAGACACAACTCAGGCGAAAACGGTCCCTTATATTGTTTCCTTTACCTAACAGTTCTTAACACAACATGGGAAGCTGTTTTATTTATGTATCTTTCCCCTGACCTTGAAATTCTTCTGCAAGTATCCATCAATTAGTAATGGGAACACGAGTAGGAGGTCAGGTTGGGAGACCTCACCCCATTAAACTTTTGGTCGCAAGGTGGGCTTTCATATGCTCACCACCATGGCCTTCTCCAATGTCAAATTACAGGACAGCTCTCCCTTCTTGGTGTAGCCTTCCCTTGGAAGGAAGGCATGGCTGCAAGCAGATAATGCTGCTGGAGCTGCCATCACTTCTCTCCTTTGCCAACCCCAGGTCTCACCTCTCCAGGGACCTGGTCTTTTATGACATGTATGGCTACTATCTCATAGGTATGTATAGGGAAACAAATGAACCTCTCTGTTGGGAATAGGATAAAGTTGGAAAAATCCACTTAGCTGTCCTATGTGTCACAGTTGGGCCAGATGCCATCCAAGACATTTCTGCAATGCCAACAGTGGACTGAAACAAGGGAAAGGGGCAACAAGCAAATGACTCTGCTGTCTCAAAAGAATCTTGTTTCCCCAACAGAGTAGTTGTAGGGAATTTTTAGCTTCCATCCTTTGATCCTATTTAGTAACTTAGAAGACATGGTCATGTATTATAGACAACAGGCTGACCTCTAGTTGCTTTGAAAGAACTGCTCTACATTTGCAACATTCTGCCCAAAGACTTCTGAGAATGAATAGCTCCTCAATGGTGGCCTTGAAGTACTAGGGAGACCATAATACTGCGGCCATGAGTTGCACCATCTCATCAGGAACTAGTTGATGGGGTGGGAAAGCCAAACAGCAGCTCTCTGTCAAGAAGGCTTACCTTTGGAATGGGGGTTCAGGAATGTCAAGATAAAAGGACTGTGCAGAGTGGAAGTACACAGTGACATTTTTACGAGCACCAGCCACTAAAACCTCTAAACACTGATTAGCTCTAGCCCTTCGTGCAGCTATTTTACCAAGACAACCGAGGTTGCACCATGCTAAGGGGGAAAACCTGCGTGATATTTTTGGTAGGAAGCTGATAAAAGCGGGAAAGACAATGAACCAAGTTGCAAAGCTATTTTTTTTTTTTTAAATAACTCTTGGAAAATCGACCTGAGTTTGCCTTGGTTTTTCTTTGGTTTGTGGAAAAAAGAGATTTAATAATTGTAACACTTTCATTGCTTTGGTTAAGCTTGAAAAAAAATTCCCATTAAAACCCAGAAATACAGGTTGCACATATGCTGTTCATTCAGAGCAATGGGTGCGATGCCTCGCTTTGGATCCACTTCAGCTAATTGATTAAAAAAGGAAACACAAGACAGCCTAGTATCCACCTTTGATTCTTAGTGCTTGATGGAATCTGAAGATGTCTTGCATTTCATGCAAGCAAGGTAGGAGCATACAATGGCAGGAAGTTTAATATTTAAGGCTGAGAGCTAAAACTCTGCGTTTAATTTCCAAATGCAGACTAAACAGCAGTTTGTAGTGGAAGAGAGGCCAGTAGATTCTAAATGGAACCAGGGAGTGGAAATGCTCTCTGTAAACTTTAAAGGTTTTATCACCATGATGCTCCTCTTTGTGTGTATAGTTAGGAATACAAAAATCACAGAAGTGTACCTCAATTATAGTAGGTCCTTCTGTTTTTTAATTGCCAAGGATGCTGCAACTATTTTTAATACTGCACTCTAGAAATACATTTGTAATTTAAGCTATCTTGCCAGTAGGACTACAAATGCCTGGTAATCAAGAAAAGGTAGTTAAAAAGGAATGACTCTATTTTGGTCATCTTAATCTGTTCAACATTTTAGGTCTTAGAAATACTTGTTTATGAGTCTATTGTTTGTGAATACCTCAAGTCAGTTCTGTCAGAACAGAAATAAAGGGTTCCTCTCCTCAGTAGAAGTGACCAGGAACCAATCTTTCAAATTCCATCTGCAGTTAAGAGACCCACAAGACCTTAAAGCCAAGTTTTTCTATTTTTCTGTCAGATATTTTAATTTAAAATGGATTGGGGCTGTTTAACTTCATGGAAAGTGATTATTTCCTCCAACTAGGAAAACTTTATAGCAGATTTAAAAAACATGTTGAATGGAACATATATAAAGCATATAATCTGGCAAGAACGGGGGATTCTGATGAAAATGCAAAGGGGGGTGGAAACGTTCTGGAAAAGGAACTTGAGAGTTTGGGATGGTTGCAGCATTTATACTGATCTTTTCTTCCTCTTAACTGTATGTAGAGAATGCTGCACAGGCATCAGGACCACTGGCTTATGTTGTCATACTCTTGCTAAGCTTGGGTTTGAGGCCTTAGATGGGGGCAGTGTTCATAGAAAAAAGTTAATTTTGGGTGTTACAGATTGCAGAGGCCAGCTGTGGTGCTAGGCAGTGTGTAACCAGAGCCTTACTCCCATCTTGTCAGACTGGTGATAATAATGTCCATCTATTGCACTGTAGGGTTGTGGGAGAAAGAATACAACAATCATATAAGACGACTTGAAAAATGCGTCCAAATCCTCTAAGACTAGTGTGAAACAATGACTATTAATTTGAATTACTGATCCTGTTTTTATTTCTTTATCTGATTCAACCAGGCTTAACAATGGGGTGAAAAACAATTCTTCCCAA